GGGGGGGGACACAAAACAAAATGTATGTACACCTGTATTTAAATACTCTGGTTTACGAAAAAGTAATATACTTATGTGTCAATTAAGAAATGGTGCTAGTCAACTTAATTATGATCTGTTTAAAGATCACTTGAAAAATAGTCCAAACTGTCATTGTAGTCATGCAATTGAAAACTCTTACCATTTCGTTTTGAATGTCCTCTCTATACAAATGAACGGCAAACTCTTATGCAGGATCTTATATAAAATAATGTAGATTTCCATAATACAATATCTTTAAATACTATTCTAAATGGTAACACTAATAATACTGATTTACAGAACAACCAATTGATGGAGTGTGTGCATAAATGGATTAATGCTACAGGACGGTTCAAATAGATTAAATTAAGTTAAATATACAAGCTGTATGTGGTTGATGTATTGTTTGTATTCTGTAAGATAAATTCATTATTTCTGTTGATAATGGATAATTTATATATATATATTTACATATAATATACCAAGGTTGATTGACCACCGGGCAGCAAATGTCCAGGGACTTTATGCGGTCATGACACCTAAGGTATGTTGGAGTAATGTAAATTAATAGTTATAATTTATTTAATTATTGAAAAACTAATGAGATATTATAAAATATCAAAATGCCATATATTTGTATCCTTTGAACTAGTGTACTTTGTTATCATATGTTATGCTCAAATGCACATTAATTTAAAACAAATATAAACTATATTAAATAAACCAACAAACCCATGCCAGTAGGAACATATGTGGTGTTGGAGTGTATGAGTGTGTGTTCGAGTTTTTCTTGTGTTCTTATAGAATCAGTTATGATTTCTTTTTGTGCTTTTTATCTGTTTTCTTTCGGTTCATTTTCTATAGGATTTTCCAACTCATCTCAAGACATATCTACTTCAAATAAGTCATGGTACATTTTTTATCAGCATACATGCATGTATCAGTTTTGCTTTGTAATATATTGTATGTTGCCGCAGCAAAATTTTAGTGGCTCAAGGTCAAGACGTATACCATATATTTAATTCGATTTGGAATACTGTGTATATCCATAACGGTATATTTAATTCGTCTTGACATATATTTTACAACTGTATTAAATATTAATATCGCAAAGTTTATATATTTTTTATTTATTTTTTTATCTTAAGTCCATATATCACATGAAATAACGAAAGTTTGTAGAAACATGAAAATATTATTCCAGCCTAATTATATTGTATATTACGTCGCAATAAATATACCCAAGTGTCACGAGATGAGTTGAAATATAATGTATGTATGTAAATATTGTATTCAATGTCTTCAACTATCAAAAGTATGCTGGAAGCCATGGAGAGAGCGTACATAGGCAAAGCGTGTTGCTCAATCCTTTTGTTTAATCAATAAAATATATTTGAAATGAAACAACAACACAAGAACACAAGCGTAGAGTGTAAAACTATACAGAACTAAATAAGTATTTTGTACCGCCAGAGGCTGTCAAATTTTTAAAGCAGGTCGGTAGCATTTAAAGTGGATATGTAAATAAAATGTGGAAAACGTTGTTGTCATTAAGTTTTGATTCTTTCCTCTTTTGTTTTACTTTGATTTCGGGCGGAATACACACACAAAAAATAAATAAAAAAAAATGCCGTTTGGAAATCAGAAGTTGCAGTCTACTTGGTAATTTTCTACGCAAAATCATTATAAAAAATGTGGCCATGTACTCTCAATAAAATACCCCCTGTGTGGTAAAGCCTGTTTCATTATCGATTATAAAGGAAAAGATTCTGAACAATTAACTTCTTATTCATTAGGGACTTGTTTGGGATACATTGAACGGTAAATAATCATGTTTTTGGAAACACATATTCTTAGCAATTTCAATTACTATCTAATGGGTTTTTTTATAAAAAAAAATGAATATCTACTCGACAACATTAACATGCGTCACAAGATAGGCAGATAGGGTGTCTCAAATGAAATATAATGGACATATGTCTTTTATATTGACCGTCTTCCGTCGTTGAGTTGTGTGTACCTGCACATACTATTGTCTAATTCTCAGATACATAATTCTTATCTTGACAATTCTTCCTAGGATTGCGTGCCTAATGACTTACTTGTTGTAGATAAAGGTATCGGGAAGCCACACATTTCTGGCGGGAATCCGAAGGGAACGGATACTGTTGAAGACGACGGGGTCCCAATAGAGATTCTCGTCAGCCCATTCCTGTAAAACCAACATATGTTTCCACCGATATTTATATATATTGAAAACCCTTATAATTACACCGGTAAGCAGCGTCACCGATTTGTATTGCACTCTCATGAACTTAACACACATACACACTTACGCACGAACATGCATTGACGAGTTTATCTTTTTATCTAACTATTTCTTCTGTTTATAAATATCTTAGTTATGAAGTGAGTTATTAATGCAAATCAAGGTATATTTACCCAAAACCCCCACCCCCACCCCCACCCAATCCTTGCTTTGGACGCACGCACTCACATACTCACATACGCAACACACCCTCATTTACACCCACACACAGTAAGTAACAAGAATTTACAGTTACACTTACTTACATCTATATACATATACAGTGCACATACACATTTCCAACCACGCAGAGGGTATTTCAAACAAGTTGAACTTATCGCTTAAAATGCATCTACTTGAGTTCAAAGTGATCACTTTCAGCCATATCTGTATTTGTCTGTAAGATTGAAAGATAAACTTCATCATTTTGAAAAAATATTTATTTTAAGAAACTTGAGACGAAATCGGTCACGTTTTAATCGTGTACAGTATATATAATAACTATACCATGTCCTTGAGTAAAGGTGTATAATTATTTTAATAACATAAAGTACATTTGATGATATGCGTGTAAAACCAGTAGAACTTCCAAGTATATGAGATTTAATGGAATCAGATTTTGTACAAATCCAGAGAGCTGGCAACCTGCTGCGATATCAAAGATAATGTAGGTGGTGCTTTACGGGAGTCTAAAACCGTCGATTCCTCAGAATTTTCTCACACTCGGAGCTTACCTGTTTATTAGTCCTTAGCAACGTCTTGGATACCTTTACATGTGTATCTAGGTGCAAATCAATGTATGGGCATTTTCTGTTATCCGTTTTTGTCATACTATAGGAAAGAGATCAGCTGCCTTGTTCAAAGTTTATTAGTGTAGCATTAATTTCAACAGATGCTTTCTGAAAAAGATTTTTTTCCATTTTCCAAAATCAGTTCAAAATAATCCTCTGGTATTTTATTTTCTATATTAATTCCATTCCATTTTTTAATTAAATACAAAGATCTATATTTAGTAATCGACGAAACGTTTGATTTAACAGACGGACAGCGGAGTGTTCAAGATGTTGTGGTAAGTCGCAGATCATTGGGCTTTAGATGTTAATTGCCTAACGGAAGTGTATTCGAGATACTGGCAAAAGCATTATATTTGCATACTTAGTCTTATATCTTTTTAATCATAGCTCTGAACCTTGTTTGAAGAATGTTCATTTTTCCCAAATTCGTGCAGTTTTACCGGACATTAAAAACGGGCAAACCCTGTCAATTGTCCGAATATAAATCTCTTAGCTTATACCTTATATAAACTAATTAACCCAGTAATAAATCGCCATGTCTCTTGGTTTTAAAACATCCACATGGTGTGTCAGGTCCTGTTGGAAGTTCTAACAAAGTGCAAAATAAATACACAACATAGAGACTCCCTCCAAATCACACAGGTTCTCCAGCAAGACAAATAATCATAATCATTAATTCCCCATAGACATGCAGTACCGCTCAATTCAGCTCTATTCTTTTCAGGAATTTCCTGGTAGTTTAAAAGTAATCATTTCACGCGTTGCTTGCGAAATTGATGCTTTTAAATTTAATCTAAAATTTCAGATCTTCACAATTATGTTTCCGTGTCGGTAATTTGAAAATGAAATTTGAAAATATCGATATCCCGTGTGCTTGTTGAATTGTGAACATGACAAGAAATTATAGACGCTAACTGCACGCCTGCTGAATCCCGCAAAGGATCCGAATGCAGACGGTAAATGGTCGTTTTGTACTTTTAGAAAAGACCAACGTTCGCAACATCATTATTTTTTGCGGTTTTAAGGAAGCAAAGTTCCAAAAATTCAACCCAACTGCTCATGTTACTGGTAAAACTGCCTACAATTTCAATACTGCCCATAAATGCTTTTCACGTAATCGCGAGAATAACACTGCCCGAAATCAGAGAGGTATACAGTAGTAAATCAATCAAAAATGTATGCCTATGCTCACTATGGTACTCCATTCTTGTCCCTTGTCATGGCTTTGAACATTCGTATACGATCATTAGAAAATTCCACAACTATATTTACTTTGTTAAATCCATGCAACATTCGGTCTGATCCTGATAGGTACGAGTATGACGTTTCATAATAAAATGTGAAAGGAAGTTACGCTCTATTAAAGCCTAACAATATTTTGTCCGTTGACCTGACCTTTGACATAAGCTTATGAACTTAAGAATGCTACGCGACTCGGGCACAATAATCAGGGGCAATTAGAACATGCGCAAAATAAGATACCTAACTATTTCTCACATAAAACTTTGACAGACAGAAACCTCAATTAAGAAAACACATTTTCCCAGAAGAAGACATCGTTTCATGAATCAACCTTGTCGATTTAAATTGTGTACCTCGTTCATTGTGATCTATGCAAATGTGAAAAGGGATTGGTTTGATGGAGTCGGTTGACATTTTACAGACAGTTTAATTTTGAATGCAGCATAAATCGTCTTACCGGACACTTTAATGGTAACACAATTATACTAACGGTAATAAACGTTCTCATGATCTGTACATCATTGCAGTGACCTTGACCTTCACGATGTTTACAACTAGAATCCAGGAGGAGGTTTCCTTAGTCATCTCGATATTTGTTGTGCATTGCCAGTTACAAGCGTCTTTCTGACAATGCAGGATAACATTTCTTTCATAATATAACTATAGGATGATAAATAGCAATCCCAAATCCTATCTTTATGCCTTTAGATGTTTAAGGTAAAGAAAATTAACAACTTAAACTGTAATTTTGTCATTGTCACCATCATGAAATAATGGTATAAATTCCTTTCAAAAGAAATATTACATAAAAATCGCATTAGCATGCATTTAATAGAATAGTAACTGTTCAATTTGGTATATTTTCATTTGATTTAACGTCCTATTAACAGCGAACGTCAATTAAGGTTGTGTTTTTTTTCTTTCTTGCGATAGAGCAGATCTAGATCTGATGACGACTTAAGAGTGCTTCTTCACTGAAATACCATGTCAAAGGCACTCAGCACAGCAATCCGCCCAGACAAATTATACTGACAACGGGTTAACTAGTAGCTGCGATTTCCCTAAATGCTGAACATTAAGCAGGGGAATAACAACAACCATGTTAAGGACTTGTCCAGGCTTTGGGACAAAACCTATTGCCCACCCCACTTGCTAACACTCAATACTAAGATTAAAAGTGAGGTATTGCCAAGCAAGGCACTAGGAAACAAAACAAGATCTAAAATGTCGTAATTCAGGCAGCAGATCAATTGTGGTTTCTTCCTTGTCCCCTTCGCAGATAACAAAGGAAAACCCCCAATTCTGCAGAGGGCCCCACATTAGTCGCCTTTGTCAAGATGTGGTGGGATACAGAGGGCCACACATTAGTCGCCTTTGTCGGGACTTTCCCCGAAACTGCAGGGGAGGTAGTTGTTTGAGTTTGAATGTTTGGAAATGAAATAAAAAGAAAATTAACCTGTATGAGTCAAACCCATGACCTTCACATTTTTAAGCCAACACCTGACCAATTTTGCCAAATATGAATTTTTCATGAGCCGAAAAGCATATCAAAAGCTTGAATCTTGGGTAACTTACTCTTAGGCAGAAAAAAACTACGTTTGATTGTTTGTCTTATATAAAGAGGGAAGACTACTTAAAATGAAAAAAATAGACCTCTGAAGGGAACTCCTTTTCGTGAATATAACTGATTCAGTAGTACCATTTACCTTTAAAGACACCTTGCGTCAGTTGTGAAATAATATTGTTCAAAGTAAAACTTTCGAAATCCCATGCACTCGCCACATAAACTGTGAGAAGAGGCCAACCAGAACTTTGCATACGGGTTTTTTTCTTTTTCTTCTACAGAGCAGACATCACAAGGTAAACACCCACTACTATAGCTACAAAACAACTTCCTATCCATCATGAATGTTTAGACATATTTCCCAATGCCGTTTAGTACGAAAATATGGCTAACACATTCTGGTTAGGGACCGGAAACTATACAGGATGACATGGTTGTGTATCAAAACATTTCAGATAAAACATTCATGTACGTCGTAGGTATTTTTTATTCTGGTTTTAGTTTGGACGTCAGCGTTCTGTTTAATGGTGCAGGTGATGAAGAAAGTTCTACTGGCAGCATCTACTTACTAAGGGTTTTCATTTACCTAATTCAACCTATACCATGATTTAAGCAACTTTACCTTACATAAACATGTAGAGTTTTGTATTATTTTGAAAATGTGGAAACATTACAACTATGAAGAAAAGAAGATGATAAGAGGAATAAATTTCCGTTTTGAAATCTAAAGAGTGTCATCGAAGGAGGTCACAAATAACTCAAATTAACAGCAAATACATGTATAAGACATAATATTGCATTGTTTCTTGAAACCTTTGAGTTTTTTGAAGATATTTCAGATACATGTATATGTGATATATACACTCTGTTTCGATCGTTTTCACGAAGATCTTCTCATGCTCAAGCCCTCTTTTTCTTATTCCGGTAAGAAATTAATAAAAACAAAATGTTTGTGTAATACACAGTTACGTTGTATAAGATAGTTGTACTTTGTGTGATACACATTTACGCTGTATAAGATATTTGTACTTTGTGTGATACACATTTACTTTGTATAAGATAGTTGTGCTCTGTGTGATACACAGTTACGTTGTATAAAATAGTTTTACTTTGTGTGATAAACAGTCACGTTGCATAAGATATTTTTACTTTGTGGGATACACATTTACGTTGTATAAGATAGTTGTACTGTGTGAGATACACAGTTACGTTGTATAAGATTGTTGTACTGTGTGAGATACACAGTAACGTTGTATAAGATAGTTTTACTTTGTGTGATACACAGTTACGTTGTATAAGATGTT